GTCTGCTTCTCTCCTGTGCTAGTGCCGACCTCACTTACTCTGGCTGGATGAGTCCCCGGCACTGGCATGTTCTATCTCTCCCCCCGCCGCGGGCATTGTTAGTTCCGCGTCCCTCTGGCCCCTGACTGCCCGGTTCCCCAGCACTGACAGGTACCTAGCGTCCTCTGCTGGCCCCGTGCGACGGCCTCGCCCAAGCTGGGCTGCACTGCCGACGGTGCGGCGTCGGCCTGTGCCGCCGTCCGCGGCCTCGGCGTCCCCACAGACCGGGCGGCGACCGGGCCGTCGGCCGTGCCCCGGCTCCCGTGGCCGCGAGCAGGACCCGTCAGAGTCCCGCCGCTGCTCCCCTCCCTCGCCTCCCCTCCCTCGCTCCCGGCGGTGTGCGCTTGAGGCTCCGGCTGCATGGCATGCCGCAAGCCGGGATACAAGGCTTGCTGGCAGCGGCTGCATGCCTGGCTGGGGCGTGGCCTGGTGCGACGTTCTCCGCTGTCGTCGCGCCAGCTGTATGTATCATCGCCAGCTTAGCCGCTGCAGGGAGGCATGGACACCTGGCTGAAAAGGGATGCCGTTGTGTGCGTATTGTGCGCCCGGTGGCCTATCTTGATGTACTTAGGACAGCTGTACTGTTATTTTCTTTATTTGTGCGTTCAGTTCTGCTAGCAAAACAATGCTCACTCCCCCAGGCCGTTTGTTGCCGTTTGTTGCCGTGGTGTATCCTGTTGTAGGCTACGCAGATCGCTGGGGGCGGCCGCCTGCTTCGTGGTGCGCGGCTGCGGAGCACGCGTTCGTATTCAGGGCGGCTGGGCTCCCACTTCGGACCCGAGCTTGGCGACTGCAAGCCACAGCGGTGCTTAGCCGATGTTATTCCGTTTATGCATGGCCACGCTTCCGTCTTAAAGGCGTATTGATGTGGCTGAACGCCGTTGGAGCGAGCTTCCTTGCACGCCTCCGTGGAAGCCCCAAAATCAGCCCTCGTTTACGCAGGCCTCTGCATAGTCTGTGCTGTGATGTCGCTAGAGTACTTCACATCGTTCTATTCTATGCGCAGTGCTTTGCGTGAGAGTATTTACGTATTGTGCACGTGGGTTTCTGGTAAGGTTCAGCACTGATACTAGCACTGGATACTTTATTAACCCATAATGGTCGCGTGGCTAGCGCCGAGTGGCGTAATAGCCGAGTGGTTAGCGCCATGGACTCCATGTGGAGACCACGGTTCGAATCCCGGCTACGCCATGGCCCCTGAGCGCTAGTATGGCCTGTGCAGGCGCTGGTTAAAGTGGGCGTGGCGACGTGCATCGCGTTCCCTTTTCTTAGATAAAACTTGTCTGGGTGTCTATACTGTATTTCATGTGCGTACGTACCGCGTTCAGGCGTGTGTTGTGAGTGCGATACTGTACGCACCTGTCGAGACTCGCGTGCGTACGTGTGAGGCAAGGCGCAGGGACGTATATACAGTAGAGCGCGGCTCTTCCCTGCCAGTGTGTGGGAAGGCCTAACGGCAGCACTGCGTGCGCGGACTGCGGACCGGCGGGATTACCGTGATGTGTGTACGTGCCACGTGCAGACACAGGTGTAGTGTATACGATAGTGTGCGGGTCTGTGTGTGCGGTAGTGGACGTGCGGTGTCCGCCTGGCCGGCAGACCTGGACGGCCTGGGCAGCATAGAGCAGGGCAGCCAGCTGTTGTCCGACTACCGGCGACTGGAGCGGGCTGCCATCAACGTGGAGCGCGACGCCGCCCTGGAGGCCGGTGAGTGCCCCGGCTCAGACAGCCGAGGCGTGCGCGGCTTCCGTCACCGGACACGGCTGTCAAGCCCGTCTGACAGCGGCTGCTCAGCCGCCTGACACGGCTGCCCAGCCTGTCTGACACGGGTGCCCAGCCCGCCTGACACAGGTGCCCATCCCGCCCGACACGGCTGCCCAGCCTGTCTGACACGGGTGCCCAGTCAGTCTGACACGGCTGCCTAGCCCGCGTGACACGGCCGTTCAGTGTGCCTGACACGGCTGCCTGGCCCGCCTGACACGGCTGCTCAGCCTGCCTGATGCGTGACACGCACTGGACACTCGAATCTGACCATAGCAGGTCGCTGACAACAGCTGAATGTGTCGTGTTTGTCGCGTGGTGCTCAATCGATCGACCAAAAGGCGACGGCCGGATGACGTCGCACTAGAGGGCGTTAGAATGATTGCATCCGCATCGCATTGTCACTGGTTCGGGCTCGTTGTCACGGGTTCGGGGTTCGACACACGTCGTGCTGTCAGTTTTTCTTGCCGCAAACGGCGTGATGGATGCCGGCGTTATAACGGCAATATCTCACTTGCATGAGACGTGGCCTGATCGAAAAATGTCATAACAGCAACTGGTCGTGAGTTGCAGACATGTCTGAAAAACATTGTTTGTCGGGTGCTGCAGCGGTTACATCAGCTCTCGAAAAATGATCACAATTCCAGCGTATCTCGATGGAATGACGCTCGCTCCGTTAGCTAGTCTGCGACAATTTTTCTCAGCGCTCTCGAACCTTGGACGCGGACTGCCTTTCCGTGCGGCCTGGCACCTCCGGAGCCCACGCGGGCGTGACCCGGGGGCCCGGCATCTCCCCGGCAGGTGTGAAGCTGTCGCGCCGCGTGCTGACCGCCTGCTGGGAGCCGCTGCTGGAGGTGCTGTCGACGCTGCTGTCGGCGCCGGCGCGGCACGGGCTCTACCCGAGCGTGGCCGGCGGTGACGGCAGCCGGCGCCAGCACCGCCGCCTGCGCCAGGCGGCCGTGGTGGCGCTCGACGGGCTGCAGCGCGCCGCGAGACTCAGCAACGTGGCCGGTGAGGAGGCCGGGGCCGGCCGGGGCTGGCCCGGCCTGCACCACCCGCGTGCCCAGCGGCAGGCTGCGGCGGCTTCGCTCGAAGCCGGCTGCCGGGGATGGCCAGGTGGTCCTTGTTCGGTGTGGTGGCCCATCGGCTCGTGTCGCTGGGACTGGATCTTCGGCTGCTAGTGACGTGCATGTACGGGCAAGGTCGCTGGACTCAAATCCGCTGCGTGGTTTTAAGCTGTTATGATCATCATTTTGACTGGATGACTGACTCGTTGAAGGGAGGGCGCCATCTGTGGAGCCGCTCGACATAACAGGTGTTTTCACCAATTCATTCTCAAGCATGACATCGTCCATGCCAATCAGTTTGAATGGCCCAATGAATGCGTCACAAACCAGCGTCGCGTCACACGTGCGACAGAAGCACTGTGACGCGCCGCTCAGTGTCTTGACCTCGCGCCGTGTGCGTTCGCCTGGCCTCTGGCGGTGTCAGCACCGCTGCGTGCTCAGCCCCGCGTGCCTGCTGCGTCCGGCAGGCCTGCAGCGTCGCTGTGACTCTGTGTTCGGCATCCTGACGGCCGCCTCGTGCGGCGACGGCGGCCCGACGGCGGCCGGGGCCCGGCCGCGCTCCCGCCTGCCGCTCGTAGGCTCGCCGCCGGTCCGCCTCCACACGGCGCACGTGCTCAGCATGGACGTCATCCTGGGGAAGGGCCTGGACCTGGGCAGTCACAGCAGCGGCTACTGGCCGCACATCTTCAAGTACGTCCACCAGACAGAGGCCGCCGGCGGTGTATGGCAGCACTGGCCAGTAAAGGCGAATGTTTCAATGCAGTCTTACGGCTTGGTCAACAATTGCCCGAATGTTTAGCTTAAAACAGCTCCATGTACTCCGCTGATGTTTCATACCTTTTTCAGCTGTGCACTTCGTTCTTCAAAAAATGTCCCATAACCATTTCACAATGTATTTACTCGAGTGACTGTCCAGGGAAACAAAGGCAACCACCTAGGAGTGAAACTATTGCGACTAATGCTGCGCAGCAGCTGCCGGCGCGTGGCCATCAGCGCTGGGCGTTAACTGCCGAGTCCTGACGCGCCGCCGCCCCGGCAGGTGTGTGCTGTACCTGGGCGACGTGGAGCGACGCTTCTTCTCGAAGCAGAGCAACCAGGCGAGCGTGCCGAAGGTGGCGCCGGAGACGCGGCCGGTGCGGCACGACAACGACGTGCTGCAGCTGACCTTCAGCCAGTGCGAAGAAGACGGCTCTGAGAGGTGGGGTCGGCGCGGCCGCTCGGCAGGACCGGGTCACAGGGACGGGCTCTGCTGGCCGGGGGGAGAGGGGCAAGAGGTGGCGTCTGGAGAAGGGGGCGGGACGGAGAGACAGGCCCGGGGGGGGGGGGCGCTGGTGTAGGGGTACGCCGTGGAGGAAAAGGAGAGGAACGCACTCTGGAGGGTATAAAGTCAAAAGTGGGCGCTGGAGTGCATCGACAGAGGGATGGAGTCTTGGGGACGGGAACAGAGACGTCTGGAAGACGGGGCTGCAGAGGTGGGCTGCATACACGCCATGTGCACGCGCAATACGTCACGTCATGTGCAGCAGTTCTGTGCAGTGCTCCGACTGCCTATTGCAGCGACGACCCGTACGGCTACCTGGCCTGCTCGTCGCTGCCGGTGACGCCAAACATCGACATCGCAGGCCGTGGTGCGCGAGTCCGGCGCCGACGACACCAACGGCGGCGTGCTGCCGGACCGGCACGCGGCGCGCGCCATCTGCGGGCTCACCCAGCAGGCCGACAGGTCAGTGGCGGCCGCGGCCGTCGTGACCCCGTCGCTCTCACGGTCGTCAGACGGGCGTTCAGCGATGCAGCTCGACAATGGCGGCAGGTCGTGACAGCCGTATTACACGCGATGAGGAGTGACACGGGGCGCTTGGTTGGTTCGGGCGCGGCGGCACCTCCGTCCGCGGTCGTCGTGCCTGCCTGCTCACGCCGGCCACGCCTCCCCCCCCCCCTCCCCCGCGTCTCCGACAGGCTGTTCGACGACGCGGCGCACAAGCTGAACCTGTCGGCGCTGCTCGGATTCCTGCGGCAGCTGTGCCGCGCCTCGCAGAGTCAGCTGTTCGCGGCGCCGCCGGCCGCCGCGCCGGCCGGCTTCTGGCGGCGGCGGCGGCGGCCGGCGGCCGGCGCCGACCCCACCGCCGACCGGCACGACCTGCTCCTGCTGACCCGGCTGGGCGACGTGGTGCTGAAGGTGGCCCGCTCGGGCCGGCCGCTGGTGCACCTCATCCGCGCCTGGTCCGTCGTCTGCCACCACCTGATGGAGGTGAGGCGGCCGCGCTCGCCGTCTGTTGCCCGGCTGCATCTGCCATGTGCCGGGTGGTGTCGGTGTCGACCTCGGACGTGTCCGCTGCCTGTGATGTGGTGTCAGCCTAGGGCGTGTCTGCTGTCTGTGGCGCGGTGTGGGCCTCGGATGTGTCCACTGTCTGTGACGCGGTGTCGGCCTTGGGTGTGTCCACTGTCTGTGACGAGGTGTAAGCCTCGGGCGTGTCCGCTGTCTGTGACGCGGTGTCCGCCTGGGGTGTGTCTGCTGTGTGTCTGTGACGCGGTGGGGGCCTCGGGTGTGTCCACTGTCTGTGATGCGGTGTCCGCCAGGGGTGTGTTCGGTGAATGTTTGTGCCGCGGCGTCGTCCTCGGGTGTGTCCGCTGTCTGTGACGCAGCGTCGACCTTGAGCGTGTCCGTTGTCTGTGACGCAGTGTTGGCCTCGGGCCTGTCCGCTGTCTGTGCCGCGGCGTCGGCCTCAGGTGTGCCCGTTGTCTGTGCCGCGGCGTCGGCCTCGGGTGTGTCCGCTGGGTGTCTGTGACGCGGTGTCGACCTCGGGCGTGTCCGCTGTCTGTCACGCTTTGTCGGCTCGGCTGTTTCCGCTGTCTGTGTAACACGCCCTGACCCACCGCGCGCAGGCGGCGTGTCACAAGGAGCTGGCCGTGTCCAAGAAGGCGGTGTGCTGCATTCACGACACGGTCAACGCCATGCTGAGCTCCCACTCGGAGCTGCCGCACTTCCACGTGAACGAGGCGCTGTTCAAGCCGCTGGAGACGCTGCTCTGCCTGGAGCTGTGCGACGCCGACGTCCAGGACCAGGTTCGTGTTCTGACGCGGCTCCACACCTCGCCGCCGGTGAACCTGGTGGATGCCCTGCGACGCGTCCGGTGGGATGAGACGTGTCTGGACGTCTTGGAGTTTTGCACGCAGACTGTCCGCTGGATGCTACTTGTTGTATACATATTCTGATGGCAGTATAACCTGGACGCGTCACCTGGGGTGTCACTTTTTAAAATCGGTCGGGGGTTAATCAGAAACCTCAGCCGAAAATGATGATCTTAGCTACCCCCAAAACCTGACGTCTTCCCGGATTTCGACCACTCGAATTTGCGGTCTCGGGATAAAGATTTAGAAATTCGTACATTAGAATTTTTGCGGAGAACTGACTTCTAGCTTCAGGTTAAGGGAAGCTGACTTTTCATGAAAAGCTTTGAGTGTGGCGTAATTCACAGAAAAACGTGTTGGGAAATCTTAGCAAGAAATCACTGATGACTACCGCTGTCGCTGATTGCGTTGTATACCCACTACAGTCTCGATTATGCAGCACATACGCCTATTACTGTTGGAGGGAATCGCATTACTTTTTGGGGCTACCCTCTTCTCCAAAAAGCTGCTGTATGTCGCAGCCAATGGTTCTTTATCTTAGTCCACGCGCTATCATTTCAAAAAATTGTCAAACATTTGCAGACTGGCTTGACGTATGAAGGAATTTGCGTGCCTAAAACATTAGGTACCTTCAGGATACTTTTTGGTACAAAATCAACGTGATACCAATAGTGATGTCTTTAGGCGCCTTATGCCTAGTAAACAAATAGTTAAGGTATTGTTCTGTGTTGATGCGGCTCAGTATTTCCCATTATAGACTCACGTGTTGAGTGTGCTCAGAGCAGTACAGGGGGGGGGGGGGGGCTCAAGTCAGCATGGGGGGCTCAGGCCTCCTGAAAGTATGCGAAGTGAATCCTCCCGCGCGTCACACCTGTGGCACACTCTGCACCGTTTGCATAATGTCTAGCCTACAACTGGCCATACTGTCCGTCCTGCCGCGCCGCTGCGTCCTCCGCTGCCGCGACCGAGCGCGCGGCGCCGGCGCAGTGACCCGTGTCGATCGACAACTGAGCATGTGCCCCCCCCCCCCCCCTGCAGATCGTCGGCTCGATCTGCGAGTTCGTGGAGCTGAGCACGGCCGAGATCCGCAGCGGATGGCGGCCGCTCTTCGGCGCGCTGCGCTCGGTGCGCGCCGACGGCGGCCCGCCGCCCGAGCCGCCGCCGGCCGCCGAGCCGAGACACGCTCACCTGCGGGTGGTGCTGGACGTGTTCGAGGCCTTCCTCAACACGGACAACGTGCTGGTGTTCGCCAACGCCGCCGTCGACTGCATTCTCTGCCTGCTGAAGCACGTCCGCGGGCCAAGTAAGCCTCTGGAGGAGGAGGGGCGGGGGGAGGGGAGAGAGAGAGAGAGACTTCCGCGTCCGCTGCTCGTGGAAGGAGGGAGGGGTCTGCTGCGGCATTCGCTCCTGCAAGGGATAAAGCTGCCCTGGCCGCTCACCACGTGCCATGTCCTGCGGACTGTGTGGAGCCTCCCGGTTAAGACGCTTAGAAAGGAATGTCAATCCGTGCCTCTGTCAGTGCTCAGCGGCAAACTTTTGGCTGTCGTGCACCGCATTGCGGCCGTGATCTGCTACGGGACTGGCGGCCCTGACCTGTGACGGGACCAGTCGCAACGTGTGACAGGACTGGCCCTGACCTGTGACTGAGCCAGCCCGGACCTGTGACGGAGTCGGCTCTGACCTGTGACCGGACCAGCCCTGACTTCCAACAGGACCAGCCCTGACCTGTGGCGGGACTAGCCCCGATCTGTGACAGGACCAGCCCTGACCTGTGACCGGACCAGCCCTTAACTGTGACGGGACCAGCCCTTAACTATGACGGGGCCAGCCCTGACCTGTGATTGGCCAGCACTGGCGTGTGACGTGGCCAGCAGCCCTGACCTGTGACCGGACCAGCCCTGACTTCTAACAGGACCAGCTCTGACCTGTGACAGAACCGACCTTGACCTGTAACAGGACCAGCCCTGACCTGTGACAGGACCAGCCCTGACCCGTGCCGGGCCGCACCGCTGACCGTGCGTGCCGCGTCCACAGCCGAGCTGCAGGACAACAACAGCAGCCTGCAGGACCAGGAGCAGGTGGTGCCGCTGGACACGCTGGGCGGCACACAGCTGGACCTGTGCCGCGCCGCGCTGCGCTACATCAGCCGCTGCCACGCCATCCTCGCCTCCATGCACGGCATGCACAGCTGCCCCGTCTTCCACGCCGCCCACAGGTAACGGCGTCCTGCCACGAGGCCCATGTTGGATTTGTGGGTTGTGGTGTGTTTTGGTAACGGTAGCGAATGGGCGCGGTCGGATCATGAAGCGGAGAGGCGCGGTCGATTTTATGGCGGCTCTGGTCAGCGGTTTTTAAGGCGATCCCGCGCCGTGTGGTCGCTTAATTGACTTAAGCCTCGCCCTGATTCGCCGTTTTGCATAGCGTGGACTGATAGGTGGTAGGGTGGGAGCCATGCGCCACCACTGCCATCGCCTGTCGTTTTCAAACTAAGAAAGACACATTCTAGCGGTAAACACCAGCGGATTGTCTTCAACCTGCTCTCGCAATTGCAAAAGGATGTTTTGTTCGGTCAATAATTGATCCCATTATATCAGACCAAAGGCCACATTTTCTGGGAAATTGAACTTTTTAGCTTTACACGCTCATATGTACAGGACCATGACTCGCAGTGACGCTAAATCTAAATAGACGAGTGCTTTGCTGAACTGATAAGCATAACAGCATGTAGTCTTATGTGCTTTAAGCGTGTGGTTACGATGCATGGCTCCGTTAGCGTAACAGTGCCGACCCCGTTATGCGCGGTCCGCAGAATCGCCGGTTACCGTTCGCCGCCCGTGCTGGCCGTAAATCGCCTTACAGTGTTCCTCAAAAGCCGCCGATGTCTCAAAGCCAGAAAGGCTAGGGACACGTTTTTGGTCTGAACTGCTAACACCGTTACTTGCCGCTACCTGCGGTATCCTGGGAGTGCCTCCACGTGCCGAGGCTTTCTGGGGCCGCGGGTGGCGCATGGACCCAATGGCCCCCACGTTGGGAGTCGCCCTGAGCGCGCGGTTAGTCCTGGTGGGGTACCTTATTCGGGCTAGATCTCAGGGCTGAGATGGGCTAGGATAGCCTGCGTATAACCGTTATTTCCAGATTTGGGAAGGAAAGTATGTCGTGTCGGGGAAGATGTCATGTGGTTGTCTTGTAGTTGCGTGTTGTTGAATTTCATGAGTATCTTGTTGATGCGTGGAGCATCGTCGAAAGTGTTCTTCGATGCGCGTGATTTCGTGACAGAAGACAAGCTTGTGTGTGTTGCGACATCTTCGAATTGTGTTGCCTGTAAAAAATTGTGCCTCTTGTGTGTTTTTTTTTTGTAAACCTTTTCCGGACGGCAAGCCTCTTCTTGCGCTTTTTGACTGAAGGGCAAGGCATTTACATGTCACCCGAGGTAAACACAAACACGCGTGCGTTCCCCTCATATCCTTACATGACTGCTGTGGTAGAAATAGATGCTCCTTCCGTGCACTGAAGATGGTCAGTGACCGAAAAAGACATACAAGTTTTTTTGTACTATTCGTGGGGCAAAGCATTATGAGCAGAGGCACCCATTTTGACAAGGGACAACAAATGTTATTCATTTAGCGGTGTCTTGTGTTAGCTTCCTTTTCATCGTATTTACCAGCCGTTCGGTACTGGTTGCCAAAGATATCTAGCTCCACAAACCCAGTGTTTTGGTGTCGTCATCTGCCGTGCAACCCCATTGTAACAACCGACACCTATCGCATACTTTGTTATCGCCACTCTCATTTCACGCTGTGCAAGGCGTTTAATCACGACAGAAAGGAGCCTGAATTCACAGCTGACCGCACGGTGCGATGAGACCGGGTGCAAGCAGCCGAAAGTCATTACCTTTAACGACCGGACCGAATGCCGGCGGTTCCAGCTGTTACGAATACCCGGCGTGCGGTTCGTGCACACGTCTGAGGCTCTGTGTAGCGTGGTGACCCGGCAGGCGCGGGCGAGGAGAAGCCGGCTGAACGGCAGCCAGAGCGCGTGCCTGGAGACGCATTGGTCAAGCCCATGTGTACGCGCTCCCGAAGGTGTATGACTCCGCTATCTGTGGTAATGGCATCACGTGTGAGATGGTAGCTGACAGTTCTCGAGCTCGCTGTCGTACCGCTCCCGCGACGCCGCGCAGAACGTCCCGCCTGCCACTCGATCTGCGGTGTCTGCGTATTGACCATTCAATGTTGCTACTGTGGGTACGACGATTGATGCTGTGTGCGCGACTTCAGGTCTGGACACCGGAAAATTAGGTCTGTCTGCATGCTTTCGAGAGTGAACGAATGTAATTACGAGCTGGATTTCAGGCTGAATGAGAAGTGCTCGGGCTATGTGAACATTCAACGGGAGCCGCCCGGTCTGGCAGTCACGCTTTCTTGGAGCTAATGTCTCCGCAACCACTCATCGCAGGTTCATGTAGTTTTCAGCAACGAGAAGCGTAATTCTCCAAAAGCTGTGCCGTATAAATCGTTAGACATTTGCATGCAAGCCATTTCATCAGGTGGGGTTTTCCAGCACCATTGCAGTATCACCACGTTTTCGAATCGTCCGTTCAATAAACATGAAACAGGTAAAAGTTTCAAATGGTGGAAAAGTTGAAGAGCACGGGTGACAAGCCGGTTCAATCTCGACCGCCCGTTGTCGCAGCGTCACTAAGCTGGCGCACTCTGAACCATAACAAAACAGGCAAACGTATTGGCACGCGTAGGTCCATGTGTAGGCGGCCGCGCGCTCCTCGTGCGCAAACCTTGGGTCGGTCAGCCTTGCCGGGCGTTTGTAAGTTTGAATGCCCAGATCGCAGGGGTTACAACAGATGACCACGTGACACCGGTTGCAGGGTGGATTCGGATGTGGCGGCTGCGGTTCTCGAGCGGGTCTCAGAGATGTCTGAACCGTACTAAGTCATAGGCACCCCACTAATCGAACGGGTGTCGGCCAGCGATATATTCTGAAAACCGATTTCGAACACAAGGTGCTCGGGCCTGAAATGAGAGGGACGAAAACTTTGCAGACTAGCTCTGTTTATTGTGATTAGTATTCACCAGGCATATTTGTGCGTTTTGCAAATATGTGGTTACGTTTGCAAATCGCAAATCGTTGTAGATTTATCGATGTCCATCAAAACTCCCAAGCCCGAACAGACTCAGTCGGCCATGTTTCGAGCTATGTAGACCTCCGCCCGTTAAATTATCCCTGATTTCTAGCGCATTCATGAACGCCAACGGCTGCCGAGGCGCCATAACCAGCACAGTTGACGCGCCCTGTGAACCCGATAACTAACTGACGGTTGCCGAAGATGTCTTGCTCCATTAGCTTACTGTTTGGCGCCACCCACATGATAACAGCTGATGCCTCTCGCGTATATTACCGCTTCACCTGCCCCCCGTTGCGTGAGGCGTCTTATGGGGTGTAAGCCATCGATTCGTCGTGGTTCTAGGCATGGATATGTGCATGCACATCCATCAGCCAGTGCTGGCTGGTGCGATATGAAATTAATGTCCTGATTTAGTTCCGTGATGTATTCCCATTTTGATTTAGTTATTTATTGTACCGTATCCCGCTCTGATTTGGGTTCAATCATGTCGGTTGGGAACATGGCATGTGCTTGGGATGGATGGGTTTGTTGACGGGTGGGCACCCTCGTTGCCCAGACATACGCAGACTAGACTTGAGCGATTCGCTCACGTATATTTGCATCGCCTGCCGTGTGCTGTTAATCACTAGGCAGTAGCTATGCTAAACGGTAGATAATGCTGTCGCTGATTAGAACGAAGCATGCAATCGACCACGTGCTGCAAGGTATCAGAAGTCCAGATGGAGGAACAGGTGTTCAGGGTGTTCAGGTGCTTTGGTGAGAAAGCCGCGAGAATCTGGACGTTCATTCTCGCCCCGCAGGAGCATACCCGAGATTTATGGCGTGACTAAACAAATCGTATGGGCCCCTGTGCGTTGAACAGCGCGAGGCCGTTCCAGGGCACACATTGGGGAGAATGGAACATCTAGGCAGTCCCGACCGGAGACATCAGCCTGCGGCCTTCACTGCTCTTTCACGACAGTAGAAAGGAAACATCCCATGGGGCATGCCCCCCGCCCCCATCCCCTGTCGTCGTGCCGTGCCGGACGTCAGCCCCGAAGAAAGCCCTCGCCCCCGCCCCCGAGCGGGGTGTCTTGTAAAGAGTCCGACATTTACCTGTCCCAGGGCTGTGTGATGGATACCTTTGTCGGTTGGGGCGTCCGGGCCCTCCCGTGCATCTCCCATCCCTCCTTTTGAGTGGCGTTATCCCCGGGACACGCGTTCCGACTTTCTCTTCGCGCCGATTAACATTTTTTCAGTGTTGCAGCGGTTTGCGGCCGTGTGTGCGGTGGCGTTCGCTGACATTGTCACGTCCAACTTTCCCGTTCCATTTTCCTGTATACATTTCGGAAGACTTAACGGTGGGCGGAAAACGCTCGGTCATTGTGCCGTACGAAAGCTGACTTCGGCCGGCGACGTGTGGGCGCGTGCGGAGCCGGCCGTGATCCCGGGTGCACGAGCCCGCCCGCTGCGCTGGCGGGAAGGCCGGCCCGGACGTGCCGACGCGCCGGATCCTACGTCCAGATGGCCGTGGAGTTAAAGGGGGCCTGCGGCCGGGGAAAGGCTTCGACGTCACCGCCCGCGTGACAGCCGTAGGATTGTTTGGTAGTGGCGCGTGACTGACAGGGTGTTAGCGTGGCCGGCTCGTGGGCGGGCGGATGTGACATAGCGCGGGAATGCCGTGTCGTCGGGGCGCCAGGCGACGTTGCCTGGCCTGTGCGCTGGCGCCGGGGCGCGGTGTGCGTTTCGCTGACATCATCCGTGTTCGATTCGCGCACAGTGGGGGCGCCGGCGACTGGCCGGGTGCCGCCTGCCTCTTGCCGTCAGGCTGGGTGCCGTCTGTTCACCTCTGTTTGGCCGGGCCCCTTCCTCTCCTGCCGCCTGGTTGGGTGCCGTCTGTTCACCTCTGTTTGACCGGACTCTGTCCTCCCCTGCCACCTGGCTGGGTGCCGCCTGTTTACCTCTGCCTGACTGGGTGCTGTATCCGGCCGCCAGGATCCAGCTGAACACGGCGCCGCTGACGGTGGACCCGGCGCCCGACGACGAGTCGGCGCCGCCGGAAGAGCCGCCGACGTCGCCCGCCGACGGTCCACCCGTCACCTACGAGCGGCTGGCCGTCCAGGGGCCGTTCACGGCGCTCGAGCAGCTCGATAACGCCAGCGGTGAGTCGCGGAGGGCGCCGATGACGTCTTCTCGTCTGGCGGCGCCGAGGCGGCGGTCGGGAGTGTGTTCCACACGCCGGATGGAGATGGTGCCGGTGCTAGGCGTAGTCGTCGTGAGCCGTGCTCGTTCCGGTGAGCTAGTGACTGTGGGATGTTCTGCAATGACGGCAATGGAGCACTGGCGGTGAGAACTGTGTGCCTCGCTCTCTACCTCGGTAAAGAGATCTGGAGGTTCCTACTGTTTGGGTTATGCTGCATCCAACAGACACTCCACACTGACGCTGTTGTCGGCAATGCGCCTCCGTTCTCCTGTCGTCGGCGAAGGGTCTACCCTCAGGCCAATCGCGGTTGTGATCATCTGGCGCCTGTAGCCCCGGCAGCTCCCTCTCTTGGGGCCCGTCGTGAGCCCGTGTGACGCCGCCGCGGTCGGCAGGGATCCTGCGCGTGTGGTACCTGCTGCTGGAGGGCCTGGCCGGAGCCACGGCCACCTGTCCCCGCCGGCACCAGCCCCAGACGATGGAGACGCTGTTCACGCTCCTCCGCTCGCTCGCCAACCGGCCCGGTCAGTGGCGCTGGTCACTCGCCGGCCAAGCGGACCCCGAGGCGCGGAGTGGCCCTCGAGGCCTGACAGCCTCAGCTTATCACTCCGCAGGGATTAATGCTTGGTTGAACCATTATCACTGGTGGCCATTGCGGCCAGTACGAGCGAATGGCCAAATGAAAGACATTTGAATGGGATGGGGTCGTCCACTTTTGGCGAAGCCCTTGGAGCTCACGTTCATCCGCTGTCTGAAGCGCCTCACACCGTCGGCGGTCGGGGCAGTCGAGTGTCCTCGCTGCGTGTGGCCCCAGTGGTCCTGTCCTGATGGAGGAGGTGGTGCCGCCTCGCCGGAGCGACCCCCTGACCGAGTGTGACGCGCGCTCCGATCGGCGGCGGCAGGCGCCGAGTTCGGCATCTACTGCGTCAACCACCTGCTGCTGCCGATGGTGCAGGGCTGGCTGCGGCGCACCGGCAGGCGCCACCGCGGGTGGGACGCGTTCGCCACCAACTTCAAGCAGTGCTGCGGCCTGGCCACCGACCTGGTGGTCTTCTACCACAAGACGCTGCCCGGTGAGTGTGCGCGCCCGCTCCGGGGCGACCCGCGGCCGTGTGGTGCGGCCGGCGGCGCACGTCTCGCTCCCCGGCCGGTCTGTGGCGGGCGCTGTGTATCCCACGCACAACCGGGGCCGGGCTTAGTCACGATTTGTGTGTGTTTGTGGAAGCTTCAGGTGACTGAGACGTCAGGCCCAGGACTGGGTAAGAAAGTTTTTATAATAACTGCCAGTCGGAAATGCCGTCTTGTATTTATGGACACTTATGCTTGTCTAGTTAAGCGTCTGGGCGCTGATCTGTGGCACGCACTTGGGAAATAAATCCGGCAACTCTGTTGTGTGCCCAGCCAGGGCACTCGTGTGTGGCTCGCTGCAGACGTTCCTGCAGCATCCGCCGTAAAAGAATGCGTCGGATGCTGGTGAGACAGCCGTTTCAGGCTTACATACGAAACATCGTGCCACCGAGCATGGACGCTGGTCTCAGCCACCGGCCTGGGGTATTAGCCCGACTGGGTGCCGGTCCCCAACCCTACCCGGTACCGGACACACCACGGCGCACCCCACTAAACTGAGACCAGTACGACCACGTGCTCAGTGCCATTCCGGGGAGCGTACGGTGCTTCCCCAGTACCCGGAGCGGGCAGGCCGGGCCGCCGTCTGGTCGGCAGCGTGGCGCTAGGCCTGCAGACTGCACGGCGGCTTACAAGGAGCGTCCTTGCGGTGGCTGCTGTGACGTCATCGGCTCAGCTGGAAAGGAAAGCACCCTAATCACGAAAGCGGCATTTGGGCTGGCTTGATACCAATGCCAGCTCACGAGCCCCTGGCGATTTTGGCATGCTTCTTTCGCGCCCTGCATTCGTGATGCGCTGCCACTCGCGGAAGGACGTCGCCGGGCATGCAGTCGTTTGTAGCGCGTCCGTCATGCGGCGTGTGTTCGTGTCCGTCCACTTCGGTCACTGGTCAGGATTGTGGCGGGAGCGGGCAGGAAGCCTGCGCCGTGGTTGATCAGCGGCCAGTACACGACGCACTGGTTCTTACCTGGCAAATGGCAGGGTCGGCGTTGGGTGTTCAGTGGGGCGCTATTATGCATTCCTTTCAGATATGGAGGCAAGCAGAGACACTGCGCCCAGGACAGACTCAAGGCATCGGGCAGGTAGATGGAGAGCGCGAGTAGAGGAGTTTTTTTCTGAGTGCGGAACGTTGCCGAGGGTGTGGAAGTAGACTGAAGAAGAAGAAGACTGAGGCGAGTGTCGACAGTCTTCATAAAGGCAGACAAGCATAGGCAGGCATAGGCAGGCAGGCAGGCAGTCCTTCCTGATGCCCATCGTAACTCCGGCTCCTCTCTGCTACGCAGATGGGAATCGGTTTGGGTTTGAGCGGTGGCGCTTGTGAGTCGTACTCCTCGTCAAGTAAACTATAAAAATTGAATTATGTCGGTGCGTAGTTGTCGGCCAGTTTTCGCGCATTTGTCACTTTCAGACGGCATGAACTGGAGGTGTTTTTTACACCACTCCAAACATATGCACACCCGGACCCAATTGGACTTGGAATGCGGTCGTGGCGCCTGGCACCCTCTAGGCGTTATTCCCTGCTTTGAAGGGTGCCATAGCCGCCCGGGTAACTCCAGCACGCTCGCTTCAGGAATGTTTCCAGCTATCGTGAGGATTCAATCGAATTAAAACGCAGTGCAGGCCTGACGCTGGGCGGCCATGCCATGAAAAATTGCGGCACGGAACGGAAGCATTCGAAAGAATCGTCATTTAGCATGAAAACAGGCCAGCCTTACTCACTGCAACAGCTGGCTAAGAACGTGTATTCGTAATGAGTTTAGGCGGTGCAGTACCATCATGGCATTGCCTGCACGCCATTTTTTTTTTAAAACGCGTAACGTTTCACGTATGTAACGTGGGAACTGCACGTGCATTGAATATTTTTGGGTCACACAAACATTTGTTTGGGTGAGAGGTCAGAACGTCTGCCTAGTTAGTTGACTTTTGGCTCGAACTGACTTAAATCAAATAAAACAGCGACGAATTTAATGAAAGAAACCAATCAGACGAGACCAACTTTCCGAGTGAAAGCAAGAAATTTTGCTAAGTTCATGCCTTAAAAACTATATCCCATTTATCGGAAATTCTTGGCGGCGGCGGCGCGGGAATCGCACACGTCTGAGGCAGGACTTCACCGTCGTGTTTGTGCAGGCGTCGGTGTTTGTGCGTGCAAGATTATCCGCGCTGTAGTGTGAACCACGGACTTCCCGCCCCCCTGCAACCTTTGTTAAGGACTGGCGTTTGATTGCGGCAGCCAGACCAGCTACGGCATCGCGGTCAGTATCGGACTGCAGGAGGTCAATTCGACTACGAATGTTGTAGGAAGCTCACCGCTGCTAAACCCGTAGAAATGTCAGTCATCGACCGAAAACACGTTTGAAACTTCCGTGTGGAGTGCGCACGTCTGTGACGCAGGCCGGGCAGCATTGTAAGGAGAAACACGTACGACCCTGTGACCGTGCCGCGGCACGCCAGCTTATCCTGAAATGTGTGTTGGATGAAAAATTGGTTTGCGGAGTCACGTATGACCTATTTTTGTCAAGCCTGTCGTGAATTCAAGTAATTTTTCACTCCAACAAAGTGCTTTGCACAATGTAAACCAGTTGGATGCATGGCGTAGCATACTGGAGCTTACATAAATATCTGCAACAAGTTGATTAATATTTTTCACCGAAATGTCCGCTTTCAGAACGCGGAGCGGGTGGCTTTGATGGGCTAACACGGGTCAGATTGTTCTAGAGTATTCGAGATTTTGTAAATAAAAATTTAAAACATTGCCAAAACTTGCACGTCATTGTTTTGAAATCTTTGCACGTCATTTTAAACATAAAAACGCATGCTTCGACAGCTTTCTACTGGCTTGAACTGAATGCATTGTAATGAAGGATGAGCGATTTTCATGTGAACAGCGAACGGACCGATAGCAAATAACGAGGAGGAAGTGAGGCATTGCACTGCGTTTGTATAGTGCAATGACGCCGCACTTCCACTGCGACGTCTATGGTCAAACCGTTTGCGCGGGGAACATAGGAAACGGTAAAAACTTTCTGTGCATCTATAAAATTCCCCGGACCAGAGACGATGCTGCCCACGCATTTTAGCATCACCGGATTTGCAACCAGGTGCATGCTGTATTTCTTCGATGCGAACACAAAACATACAGCAAACTCAACGTTGCCCCGCCCATGATGAGCGCCAGCGATCGACCAAAAGGATATGTAAAGGAAACTTTGGCTCACGCGGATTCTATAGGAGTCGAAATCAAGCGGTATCACGCAGGGCAGTGCCCACCTACCATTACGTTGTCAAAACTGTGCCGGACGATGCATGACACGGCATACTTTAGGCCCATTTCGGACATCGCCCAAATAGCGTCAAAATTAGGTCCATGACTCGGCTTCACGGGTTGGAAACCAGTTGCTATCCGTTTGACGCGACCACAATTTGTGTAGCAGACTCGACACCGCACACCACGGGTGCGAATCCCGCTAGCCACCGTTAGAATGAAGCTGGATAATTCCGTCGTGAATATGGGCTCTGGAGTCTAACCAAGCGGCTGGGGACCCCAGGACAAACTTGCCATCATGTTACGGGAACTCGCAGACCTGTGCACAAAAGTGGTGCGCCTGTTGAGAAGTGATGCATTTTAGGCACTTCTGCACTGTCAGTTCTACTCACCTGCCAAAGTATGGCAACAGAGCAATAACCTAACAGCCGATGAACAGCTGGCTTAAGGGCGACATGTTGTCAGAACTGGACCGAATAGGACAATCGGAAGAGTGAACGTGTCTGCGCCAATCGTAAGAGCTCAAGACGGTTCGAACGGTCTGCATTCGCTAAGAAGGAGCGCAGAGGCGCACCGGAATCACGGGGTGACGGGCGTCACCTGTTTGCAGCTATATACCGTGACTCCGCGGTGACCCCGAAGACCCCGCCACTGTAAATTACCGCTGGTGTCTGTTGGATTCAGCGCATGTTGGACATGTGCGCTCACAAGATGATATGACTGGGAGAGCGATTTGATGCCGCCATCTTATTGGGACGGTGATTTGATGTCACCATCTGATTGGGAGAACGACTTGGTGTCACCATCTGATTGGGAGAGGGGCTCTGATGCCACCATCTGATTGGGAGAGTGATTTGATGGCACCAGTTTCAGGAGAAGTGACGAAACTATGCCTGGTGGCCGTCAGTAAGGATTGCAATGGAACGAGTGGCGTCTGGAATGAAATTGGTTCCAGTACCCCAGTGAGGCTTAACTCTGGTTTTTTAGGTTGATATGTTAATGTGTCGCTGAGGAATGTGACAAGGCGCGCCGCATGCACGTGGTTGTGGTGTGGTATTAGCGCTGGGTATCGACGTGCCTGAAGGTACGATTGTTCTTCTTCAGTTATAACTAAACAGTAGGTAATGTTGTCACCACAGTTCAAGCAAGGAAATTGTGTCCCTCTAACGAAGGGGGGCATCACGCAAATGAATCGTCTGGTGCGATAATAGCAAAGGCGTGTGCATGTATCTAGTGCTTCCTCTCGGGGGAGGCCGTTCTGCCCCGCGACAGACCAGACGCGTCGCACCACTCCAGATCGCGGCCTACGCGGGAGTTTAGTCCTGACACGGCTCCATCTCCTGGCCGTCAAATGAACCTGAGATGACGAGCGCTGGGCCGCTAATTTGCCCGCTGCAATGCTCCTTCCCTTCCCCACGAGCGTGTGATATGTGAATTGATGCGGGCGCCGGTGGCGGCGGTGGTGGTGTCGGAGGTGTCCTCCGCGGGCCGACGCGCGGTAACCTGAGGCTGTCCTGGTGTGGGTTTGTGTGTGGGGAGAAGGATGTGTGTGTGTGCGGCGCGGTCGCCGGCGGGCGCGTGCGAGTAACAGAGCCGTGTGGTGTGCCCCTCCGCAGCCGACGCGTCCGAGCGCCAGCGGGCCGGCGCCCAGCTGATGATGCGACAGCTGCTGCTGGTCATGATCGAGTGTGTCTGCCAGCCGCACGAGGTCATCTCGCGACTCGGCTGCGCCTGCATCAGGTACCGTCCCTCTGACAACAGCACACTGCATGCCACGCTGTCTCCCACACTGCCGCTCTCCCGCTGCAGTCGGCAGTCAGCGGCCAGCTCGCTGCCGACCGCCTGCCGCTCAGTTGGAGGCACGCCGTTGTCCTGCTGGTGACGACGGCCCCAGCTCTGTTAGCTCAGCGCGGCGCCCGGCGGTGCCGCCAGCAGCAGTCTCCGATAGCGGTGGAACAACTCAGAGTCCCAATCCCCACATTACGACGCCGCTAAGCCACCAGCGATACGAAACTGACGTATGGGCTGGGATCTTGGGGTGGGCTTAGCTCAGTTTGGAGACAAGGCGAAGGAGCGCCGGGTGAAGGTACGGGTTCAGTCTGGCTGCAGGCCAAGCGTCATCGTCGCCGACCTCGAGCTGTGCGGGAGACCGCGACCCTAATGACGCTGCATGTTGAACGCGTCATTAAACCCAACAATTATGGCTAATGGCACTTGGTGGTGGCTGGGCTGCTTGAGTTGCTAACCCGCTAAACACAACGACCTCGGCGTCGATCAACAGGGCACTTAGCCCCTCCGCCTAACAGCACGCACGGCAAGTCGGCGCACTGTACGTACGAGCGACCCGCTTAGCACTGTACCCTTGATCATCCTTCCGCGATCTGCGGCAGACGGCAGACGCAGACGGCAGACGGCAGACGGCAGACGCAGACGCAGACGCAGACGCAGACGGCAGACGGCAGACGCAGACGCAGACAGACAGCAGACGGCAGACGCAGACGCAGACGCAGACGGCAGACGGCAGACGCAGACGGCAGACGGCAGACGCAGACACAGACGCAGACAGCAGACGCAGACGGCAGACGGCAGACGGCAGACGGCAGAGGCAGACGGCAGACGGCAGACGGCAGACGGCAGACGGCAGACGGCAGACGCAGACGGCAGACGCAGACGCAGACGGCAGACGCAGACGCAGACAGCAGACCAGACGCAGACGGCAGACGGCAGACAGCAGACAGCAGACAGCAGACAGCAGACGCAGACGGCACGGCAGACCAGACGCAGACGGCGACCAGACGGCAGACAGCAGACGCAGACGGCATACGCTCGGCTGCAGACTCTGCTGCCTGGACAGGGCTCCGAGAGGCTCGGATTTCGCCGTGTTCAGATCTCCCGATCAAGAGGGAGACGGTCACCGCGAACGCCCCTTGTGCCGCGTGCTGGGTGGCAAGATGACCGCTCCTCGCCCCGGCGGCCGGCTCGGTCCTTGTCCTCGACAACAAGCAGTCCATATAGGGGAGCTGTAACCAGCCGGCCCTGGCCGTGCCGCTGTTGCATTCCGGCCCTGACTGCCTTAAGTAGGCCTGAGGCCTAAGTAGCCTTGCCGCCCGGGTAGGCCTTGGGTGGCGAAGCTGCATCAAATCATACGGGCACCTACCGTCTGCCGTCAGTAAGTAAACAGACCCAGGTACAACAGTCGACGTGCTGCGCAAAGTCATACGGGCTTGGCACTCTAAACGAGCATTGCAGCGAAAAGTGCGTGGAAGTGCACCGAGCTTGTTGGCGGTGTGGAGCGTCCCATGGCGGTCGAGTCGGGTGGAAGACCGACCTCCTCTGCGGCGGTCGTCCTCGGCTGTACACCACGGCCTGTGGTGGTGCACGACGTACACCACGCCCCTGCGCCGTGAGACGGCGTACACTACGACCTTTGTCTGTTAGGCGGTGTACACGACGACCTATGTTAAGCGGCGTACACTACGACCTGTGTTGCGGGCAGCGTGCATCATGTTCTGTGACGTTCCGCGGTGTCCGTCGTAACCGACTGTCAGGGATGGCATGCCGCACAGCCTGCTGCGCGAGGCGGCGCGCGGGCTGCGCTGCCGCTGTCGGCGCCAGGGCGGTGCGCTGCGGCGTCTGCGTGACGCGAGTCGTGTCGCTGGCCGCAGCGGAGGACCGACTCCTCCCCACGGGCCTCTCCCAGCCGCTCCGCATACGCCAGTTGACACTTATTCGGCGTAAATCATCCCAAATGGTTATTTGTGATCCGTAAATCACGGACGGCGCTGATCTACGACAGGAAGCTCGCAGTGTCTACTTAGGCCATTTGCACGTTCAGATTCTTTTCATCAGGTGCGATGATTTACCGGGTACGTCTAAATTGCGGCCGGCCGGCGGCCGCACAGTGGCGCCGCTGTCGCGGCCGTCCGCCAGGGGCGCCCGTGTCGTGAACCCTGCGGTCAATTAGAGAGTGCCGTCGCTGCACAGCGGCGTGCTGCTGCATTCTGGCGGCGCCGATTAGAGCCCGCCCCCGCCACAACGGCCGATGCGCCCGCTGCAAACGGTGTGGGAACGACGGCGCAGCCCGCTCCACGCACAATTACCCCACATAGTATTCCGCGCTTGCTGCTCAGCTCGTCCCGAAACGCGAATACTTGCAGCCTTTTTATGTCGCTCATGGCTCCGAAAACGGCTGGAATAGCCCGGAAAGCCGACCGTACGCAGATTAGCCGGTTTAAAAGAGCGCGCCGACTGACCGAGCGGAATAATTCAAATTAAGCCGGCGATTGCCGGCAAAAATGGTGGGTATTTTACGGGGGGTTTTCACATACTTATTCCAATGGTGCCAATTAAGAACGTATATTTTTCGATTAATTGCCCTATTTAATTCATCTATATTAGGTTCATGCTTGTGATGCCGCCAAAGCATGGCATACCACCGTAAACCACGGCATCAAAACAATGCCGCGGCATGATGTCAGGCCCGCTGGCACGCATCCCCGGCGGATGTCTGTTGTCAGGCGCTCGGCTTGTGTGTTACGCAGTAATGCCGGACGGAAACAATGTATTCATACAGTGCTTAGATGTGTTTGAAGTGCTTTGTAAACAAGGACGTGGATTGCCTCTTAAGCGCCTTCTGAACAGGGGCGTGGGTTACCTTTTTTGTTTGTGCTGCTGCCTCTCTGCCTCAGTGCATGGCAAAATAATGCATGACGGGTGTTAAAAGGACATAGTTTTGATACGTAATGCCTGTTGTCAACAAGTGCTCGTATTGTCCCTGTGTTCATGGTTTTCGGTCATCCTTTGTCATGTAAACGAACGTGGTTTTAGACCATCCTTTGTTCTGAAAACTTTTTTGCTCAATTCATTTGCTCGCTTTACACAGCTTTCTAAAGGGCATCCCTACAACGTCCATTTTATGACTGCGCACGCAAGCATTCCACATGCATTGCAAACGCATTGCATTGCACCACATGCAAACGAACAAGCATTCCACATGTTGCTTTATTTAACGTGTTTCCCACTTGGACGTCTGCACTGTTTGCGTTCTGGAAAAGTGTCCGTTCTGGGCTGCTCTATGACATCATGGCCACGACTGTCGTCACTGCGCGTACAGTCACCGCAGTGAACGTACGCATAGTGACGTTCACCGCGCGTACGCTTAGCACCTGGCAGATGCTCCCTCAAGTCATTGCTCTAGGCTGTTGAGTTGTTTCGAGTTCTGCCAATGATGTTTGTTTGACCATTTGATCACTAGCTGATAGCCGATCATGGCGGCCAAAACCCCGATGGCACGGGGGGAGGGGGAGGAGAAGTGTCCATTCGCACCCGTTCACTATTGACACGAGGAACTTTATTGACGCAAGGCTCACATAAAACGATTGCGGCCGAAGACCGATTTCATTGCAAAACCCGTGATGTAGGAACAAAAAGGAGAACTATGGATCGCCGACCTTAACTTGGTCGGAGGTCCGATTGCACGCGCTGGCACCGCCCCCACCCCCCGTATGGTCTCCACCTGTAGAGGACTGGACGGGCCAGCGGCTTCCCCGTCTGCCATCCTGGGCCACCCCCGGCACGCGGCGCCGTCCAGATCAAGGCGACCCCGGCGGCGTGGGCAGCCTGGTCGACACCTGACCGTAGGTGCGTGCCCTGTGGGGAGGGAACAGCAGCGGAGGCGGCGGCGCGCTCCCAGCGGGCTGCGCTGTCGGCCGGCTGATGGCCGGTGTCGCCATAAGTCACGCACCGCCGGCGCGGCGCGCTCTCAGCGCCGCCGCCGCCGGCCGATCGCGTGCGCGGCCCCCATCGGCCGCCGGCGCGCCGCTGTCGCCGCGGCGACGCCGCTTTTTCCGTCATTTCCTCTCCACTGGGGCGCCTTCATTACAACGACACATGAACACTCGGTCATTAAGATTTTTTCCACTCGGGTGCAATAAAATCATGGTGTTTTTACGGCGGCGCCGGCCGGCCTTTATTGGAGTGAGCTTCCTCCTGGCGCTGGCCTCCTCGAAGTCGACATTCGCCCGCCTGTTTTAAACCCGAGCGATAATTTGATTAGGTCGCGCCGTGTGGAGCCGCGCAACTGGGCGGAAGGCGGGCTGTGCGAGCACCGCCGCTGGGCGGAAGGCGGGCTGTGCGAGCATCGCCGCCGCTGGGCGGAAGGCGGGCTGTGCGAGCACCGCCGCCGCTGGACGGAAGGCGGGCTGTGCGAGCACCGCCGCCGCTGGGCGGAAGGCGGGCTGTGGCGACACCGCCGCGCCGCTGGACGGAAGGCGGCCTGTGCGGACACCGCCGCTGGCCGCCTGGCCCTGGCCGGGCCGAGCTCACCGCGCGAGCAGGACGCTGCTGCCCTGAGCCCGCCGTTTTGGCCCGTGGACTGGATCGCCCTGCGCGACACACCGTGCGCTGGCCGGGAGCTTCACCCAACCTCAGACGCTGCAGCCGCAGCTGCTGCGTCCCGGGACCCGGTGACGCGTTGTTTGCTGCACCACTCCATCCCCGGGCTGTGGCCTCGGCCGCGCTGTCAAGTGCCACACGCACGGCGTTGTGGGGTCGGGTGCTGACCCAAATTCAGCCGGTTTGCTCGCGCCAAGTGGTAACAATGCCGGGCGGATTCGTCAGTGTTGAACAGACGATTGGACTCCGTGGTCACTGCTGAGATGGAGGCCTGTCGGCCGTTTTGATTGGTTTGCCCATCGAGTGCATTAGACACCAGGGCAATGCAGAGAAGATCCGTGCTACACTTATATAATCGTTTATTATCACTGTGTTTATATTCATTCATTGTTATACCAGATACCAAATTGTTGTGTTGAGTCCTAATCCTATTTGTTCGTTGCTCTAGCTGATAGGACGAATGCAGGTTCGTAGGTTCGCATAACCAAC